AAATCGGTGCAGACACATGCAGACTAGCTGAATCATCACATTCAATTCCCAGGAGGTGAAAGGTACAGTGAAGTTTCCCATGCCTGGGAGCCTTACTTCTGCTCTTGAGGACATATTGATTGATTGGCAATCATGGGAAACATTTCCACTTTGGAACTTGGTTGCAAAGTCCCAGGACTTGACTGGCCATTGACCAACCATGCCGTGAGCCTGGTAATTAACACTGCTGCCCCAGGGAAGTGGAGACACGATGTCCTTAACCTAAGCACTCCGTGTCTAATAAATCCAGGACAGGAGGAGAGTGTTGTCTTGTTGGAGTCCAGTGGCTCCTTCTATGGTCCTAACATGGGGCCATCACTGAAGCAGAGATGCCCTGCAGATCTTGGCCTTACAAGCAGATGTTGGCTTTTTGAACCTCTATATTTTCACAACACAAACTGCTGTTAGCTTCTGCTAAAGTAATGTGACATTTTGATTTCCTCTCCCTCAGGCTATAAAATTGGTATTAAAAATTTATTGATGCCTGAAGTGAGAGACTTCTGGGAAAAATTAGGAAGCTATGTGGCCCCTGAAGAAGAAGGGGGTCACGTGGACCTCTTTGTACCACTTGGAGCATCAGGTCAGTTTTGAGAGGTAGTGGTCATACCTACTTTGTGATGATTTATAAAATGTCCTCAATTCAAATAACTAAGTTACATTTATTTTTTATTTTTTTTCCTTATACTTCACATACTCAGATATTTAGGGGGAAAGGACATCAAGGTTAGTGGTCAGAGTAACCTGTCCCTAAAGAAATAGTCATTAGTGGTAAGAGCCAACCAGAAAAATTATTTCTGTTTCTTCTGGAAAACACAGTAAAATCAGCCTCCACAGTGCAGGTGAAAATGCCAGACCAGCACTGGGACCATGAGCAGCCTGTATGAGGAACCTTCCCTGTTGGGTTCAGAATCTGGAAGAAGTGGGCATGAACTTGGTGACCAGGGACCTGGACTTCAATTCCACTCATGTGACTTGAGCTGTGTGGTCTTAGGCTAGTTTGTGGACCTCTGTTTCCTCATATGAAAGTTAGGATAATAATATCTTACCTTATTGGACCTGTGAATATCAAAATACATATAAAATACTCAAATGTTGAAGTATCAAAAAATGGTGAAGTGCCTTGTAAAGATGAGTGTGGTAACTTATCATTTTAAGTGCCTGTCTAGTATCAGCCATATTTAACATAAAAGCTCTGCTTTCTTGAATTCATGGGCTATGTTTTTTGTTTATTTCTTTGTTGTTGTTTTTTAGCTAAGCAGAACATGGGAAAGGAAGTGTGGAATTAAAGTTTCTCAAACTGTTTCTTGCTACCCACTCCTTAGGGAACTTAAATTTAGTTCTTAATCCTTAGATTTCATTGGACTATTCAAAGCAGGACTCTGGTAGGATTCCTCTAGGCAAAGGAAGTATAGCAAACAGTTTAAGAGAAAATGAAGTACAAATTATTGTAAAAAGATAGTTTTTACAATTACTACAAATATATAATCTCAATTATGTAGAAAATAGGGATAGACAACTCTAGGAGGAAATATAGCTCACTATTAACTGTCTATCTCTAGATCTGTTATTTCAAATTTTCTTTTAAAATCAGTTTGAAAAGGGTAAGTTACAAAGAATGTGGAAGGTGTGACCCCAATGTTTAAAATCTGTGTATGTGACAGGGAGGGTGGTGGTGGGGTGTGTGTATAAGAAGGGTTTGGAAGCATATATATCATCATGCTGACAATAGTTGGATAATATTAGTGAGTTTTCCTTTCTTTTATATTTTCCTTTTTCTTTGATCTTTTTTTGGTCTCTATTTTCTGTAGTGAACTAGTATTACTTTTAAAATGAGAGCAAAACAAAATTTTTAATGGGAGTGGAGGGGGGAAAGGATGTTAAAAAGTATCGTATTGAAAGGCCAAGAGAATATGGGCAAAAGGGAAAAAGAACAGTAGATTTAGTGACACAAAAATGGTCTCAAGTGAAACTTAATGGTACTCAAACAACAGATTTCCCATTGCCATTCTGGGCCCCCAGGTCATCCCTGAACGTCTCATCAAATATAATTTCTCCTAGGTGAACCATCGAGACCCTGGTTCAGTCAGAAGGCCCTGGCTTCTCAGTCAAAAATCTTCCACCACCTTAGGAATCACTCTGGAGCCTGTCAGTCCTATAGCTATACCACCTCTGAAATCTTGATCTTAAGCATTTGTCTCTGAGTACCACTTCCAAATCGTGTCCTCAAATATTCCCACTCTATTGGTTCTTTGCCTGAGGATCTCCAATCCACATACTCCCACTTACTCACTCTCCATCACCATGCCTTCAAACTTGGTTCCTTCCTCATTAAACCCAGATTTACTGGTTTGTCATTATCATCTCTCTTGCAAAGAACCTTAACTTCTTTTCTGCTGGCCAAACCCCAGTTTATTTGGCTAAATCCCAATGCCGGCTGGAGAAGAAAATGGCAACCCACTCCAGTGCTCTTGCCTGGAAAATCCCATGGACAGAGGGGCCTGGTAGGCTGCAGTCCGTGGCGTTGCAAAGAGTCAGATATGACTGAGTGGCTTCACTTTTCACTTTCATGCACTGGAGAAGGAAATGGCAACCCACTCGAGTGTTCTTGCCTGGAGAATCCCAGGGACCGGGGAGCCTGGTGGGCTGCCGTCTATGGGGTTGCACAGAGTCGGACATGACTGAAGTGACTTAGCAGCAGCAGCAGCAATGCCTATTAGAACACAATCTTCTGCATAATCTATGCCTGCCAGTACTGAAGCAGCTGAAGACTGTTGGAAAGAGTAATACAACTGTTCTTACTGATCAACTTTAATGCCATAAATACCAAATGGGATTGGAGCTCTGACAAGCAATCCTACCACATTTCCTTGGTAAATTCATTTTCCCACTCTTTAATGACTATGTCATCCCTTCTCCTCTTTAGTCAATCTTTCAATAACCCTCTCTCTCACTTGTGGATTTCACCATTTACTTCCCTAAGGAAACCCCTTAATATACCTCCCGCCACAGAAACCGCCATCTACCCCACCTCTTACGTTCACCCCGTCTTCCCTTCTGTTATGGTGAAAGAGGCACCCCTGCTTGAATCAAACATCAGCTGCTCCACTTGGACGCTGGACTGCACCGCCTTTCACCTTCTCAAGACATCACTCCTATGCTCAAATCCGCTCCCAGAGCCTCAATCCTATTGGGTTAATCCTATCAGAGCAAGAACACCTGTAGTAGCTCCTCCACTCTCCCTCCCCCCCGAAAAAGAGACCATAAACTTTCTCTCACATGAGTTGACTATACCAATGGTTCTCAAGTTGTTGACGTGTATTTGACTCAGAGTCAAATACAAGACCTAGAGTCACCTAGAGGACTTGTCACAATCCACATTGCTGGATCCCACCCTAGTGTTTCAGATTCAGGTCTGGCATGGGAGCTGAGAATTTGGCGATGCTGATGCTGCTGATCCCAGAGCCACACTTGGAGAACTATTGGTATAGCTCAGAGGTCCCCAACCTTTTCAGCGGCAGGGACCGATTTTGGGGAAAACAGTTTTTCCATGGACCAGAAATGGGGGTTTGGGATGATTCGAGCACATTACATTTATTATGCACTTTGTTTCTAATCTAATGCTTTCACTGATCTGACAGATGGTACCAGTCCACAGCCGGGAGGTTGGGGATCCCTGATCTAGCTGACTGCTTCTACCTTCCTCACCTCTCACTTGCCCGCCTCCCAAGCTCCTCCAAGTGGTCTCAGTCTACCAAAGCCACTTTTGGAAGACTATAAACAACTCCCATGTGCACAAATCCAGCAGTCCCTTCTCCATCCGCACCTTGCCCTGACCTCTCAGTGGTGTTTGAGCTGGATGAATACTTCTCAAAACTCTCCTTCTTCCCTTCGTTTCCCTAATACCACCCACTCCTTGTTTTCCTCCTACCTCAGCAGTCTGTTTCCCTCAGTCTCCTTTGCTGGCTCCTTCTCTTTGGTGAGGCCCTTAAATGTGTCCTGGGCTCGATCCCAAACTCACTTATCTTCCCTGACTATACACTCTTCCCTTAGGGAGTCTCATTTATTCCTATGACTCTACGTTCAATCTGGATACTGAAGACTCCCAAATTTATGTCTCCATCTCAGAAATCTCTCAGCTGTAAACTCATATCTAGCTTTTACTTGACATCTTCATGTGGGTGTTTAGTTTGCATAGCTAATAGGCATCTCAAAGTGCACACACCTGAAACAGATTCTTGATTGCCTTGCATCACAAACCCACCCCTTTCCCAGGATTCCTCACTTAAGATTGCATTATTCACCAGTTACTAAGAAGCCAGAAACCTAAAACTCATCTTTTTTTTTTTTTTGGTATTACAAATTGTAAGCACTTTTATTAAGGTATAGTTGACACGAAGTATTTAAAGTGTGTAATTTGATAAATTTTGACATATGTCTACACACCATGTGAAACCATAAAACAGTCAAGATAATGAACACATTCATCATCCCCGAAAGTTTCCTCCTGCCACCTTGCAATTTCTCACTTTGCTTCTCCACTCTAACCAGAGGCAGCCACTGATCTCACAATATATTAGTTTGCATTTTATAGAATTTTCTGTAAATGGAATCATACAGTGCATTTTTTTGGTCCCGCTTCCCTCACTCCAGATATTTTAGATTCATCCATGTCATGCTGGTATCAATGGTTCATTCCTTTTTACTACTGGGAATGATTATATTGTATAGTTATACCACAATTTGTTTATCCATTCACCTGTTGATAGATATTTGAGTTCTTTCCAGATTAAGGCTTTTACATGCTGTGAACATGTGCTTTCATTTCTCTTGGGTAAATAAATGACTAGGAGTGGAATCACTGGTTTATATGATAGGTGTATGTTTAACTTAAAAAAAAAAAAAAACAGCCAAACTGTTTCCAAAGTGGTTATGCCATTTTAGATTTCCACTCCAGCTACCCAACACTCTGACACTTGGTAAGGTCAGTTTTCTTAATTTGAGCCATTAAAGTGTGTCCTGATATCTCTTCATGGTTTTAATTTGCATTTTCTCTAATGATCAGTGAATCTAAGCTTCTTTCCATGTGTTTATTTGCCATTTGTCCTCCTTGGTGAAGTGTCCGTTCAAATCTTTTGTTCATTTTAAAAATTAGGGTTTTTGGCTTTTTACTGAGGTATCTTTGTGTATTCTGGGAAATAAACAGATTTTTCTGTTGCAAATATTTTTTCCACTCTATGACTTATCTTTTCCTTCTCTGAATAGTTTCTTTTGAAGACAAGAAATTCTTAATTTTGACAAAGTCTAATTTATCAATCTTTATGTTTTATAGATTATGCTTTTGATGTCATATCTAAAAACTCTACCTAACCAAAGATCACTTCTATGATTTCTCCAAAATTATTTATAGTTTTAAGTTTGACATTTGGGTTTGTGATCCATTTGATTTATGCTTTTTTAAAAAATAGAATGCAAGGTATGAAGTTCTTTTTTTTTTTAAACACGTGGCTATCAAATTATTTCAGTACCATTCCTTGTAAAGACCATCCTTTTCCCAGTGGATTTTATTTGCATCTTAGTTGAAATCAATTGACTATGAATGTGTAGGTACTCTTATGAACTTGCTGTAATTTAACTGATCTATTTGTCATTGGAAACATTAGATACAAATAAGTGACAGACATCCCAATCTCTCAGCCACAACCATCTTGCTGAGAGCAACTGAAACAACTTGGAGTAATCCTTTACTCCTGGACCACAAAGAATTAAAATACATTACCCTATAGTTTCATTTGAAGTAGTTTGATCTATATGCTATGTCACGGAAGAAGGGATAAAATTAACACTAAAATTTGATCATTGTATTCCGCTGTGTGTTTAACAGTTTTAAAACTATCCTCTTGCAGTGAGACTTTGAGTCAGACTATTTTAGAAAACCTGTGTAGACTTTTCTGTTTTTGGCCTAATTCCAAATTTGAAAATAAGCACCAGGTCAAACTGCATCCCTCTTTCTCCACCCTGTCATCAGTCCTGAATGAAGTGCCTGGACTTCAGCGTTGAGGGATGAATTGTAAAGCATTGATGGACTATCTCATGAGGGATTTGAGTTGAAGACAAGACCTACAAGTGACCTTTCTTGGCCAGCTCATTAAATTTAACTCTTATGGCAAACCTGTGAGTGAACTAATGAAAGTATTTTTGACTGTGCAGAGGCAGGAATAGAAGTTCTTTCTCAGCTGTCTCAACTGACTGGCACGTTATTTACTGCTCCCACTGGGATTGCCACTGGCTCTTACCAACATGGTAAGTGTGTATGGGTGCTGACCACCGTGTCCAATGATACCCACCAACTCCAGGATCACCAAGGACAAAACACAGCTCGTAATACTGGTTCTGGCAATGTCAATTACTGCCTTTCCTTCCTACTCTGAAGGAGTGCTGTCACTCCCCAACTAGTTCATTTCTCATCACTCAATCATTTGCTTAGAAAGGAATTATTATTACAAATATCTGCTTCAAACCATCATTTGCAAAAACTGTTGAAAATATAGCTTTAACAGTTAAACAAAGATGTAGCTGATCTAGAGAAATGATAAGTACAGAGAACAATTTTCTTCGTAAAACATTATCAATGTGCTTTCATTTGGAAAAATGAATTGGAGCTATAAGGAGCTAGTGAAGGGGCTGGCTCAAGTTTCACTGCAGTAGCCTTAAGGGAGAGGAAGAACAAAGAGAAATTACACTTGAAAGCAAAATTTCATTTAGATACTAAAGCTGCAACTATTAGATCAAAATGTAACACTGGCTGACTAACAAGAGTCAAATTGCTTTGCTATGATAATGTTAATCATTTTCCCCTTTAAAACTCTCTCACTTCCTATCAAACAGGGATGGGAGTGATGTAAAACTATATAAAGCATTACTTCTCTAATCCTGGATGCTAAGTGCCTTTCAAGACAGGAAAGCTGGCATCATTGGGAGACTTGTAAGGGAGAAGATTCATGATGATACAACAAAAAGCTCACTGACCTAATACAGTTTTGTAGCTGAAGTTGCTTGTTACTTTTAGTTTACATAGCAGCAGCACCCAATGAGAGCATATTTGGCCCCATGAAGGGAGGAAATCAGCCTCGCAGAGATAGCAGGGTGTAAACAGCAGTGTAGTGCAGATAGCAGTGCAGTTATAAAATGGATTTTCATCTTTTTCTCCTCCTCTCTCTTCTTCCTCCTTTTCCCACTCTTCTTCTCATTCTAGAAGAACTTGTTACAAATAGTTTCACATTTATCAGCAAAAAATGTGGAGAGAAGAATGAAACTATTTAGGACAGAAAATCGAATTTCCCTTGGCCCCGTGTAATTCAGTCACTGATTTTCAAGGAAAGAAACTTCCTTAAGCACCCATTTCAGTACATGTAGAGATATCTGTAGAGAAAGAGCAGCTGGACATGATGTAAATAAGATGCAGGGCTGGCTCCAATGGAGATGACTTTCAGATGACATGATGGGAAACCAGGAAAAGTGCGGTTTCCCTGTATTTTTACTTTTTAAGGTGTGAACATAAAATAGTATATTCTTATTTGCAAGTCTCTTCTGCTTTTGATGCAAAAATCCAGCAGCTATTTAATTTTACTTCAAATACAGTGTAACATGTCACACTTATCTATCAAAGAGTAGATAGACATTTGAAATTATTCATTTTGTCCTTTTTGAGTTTCTAATTTTATCTTTGAAAGCAGACTATGGGTGTTTATCTTAGTTTTCTAATGAGAAAGGGTAATAAGTCTGATATAAATTCAATTAAGGGTTTTTTTCCCCATACTGTAAACAAGAAGAACTCTTTCATTTGAGCTTAAGTCTGTGATACTAAATGGGGAAAATAATGTCAGTTCTTAGTGACTGGCTGGGACGACAGTGGGAAACGGCACCCCCTTCCATCTACTTCAGCGAACCAAAGCTGCAGACATGGTCCAGCTTCACCGACTTCCTGGAAGACACCTTGAAATCGGTAAGGAAACAATTAAGTCCTCTCTTCAAGGAGTTGCAGAAGAACATCAGTGGCAGGATGATAGGTAAGAACTGTTGCTACTTCTGTTGCTGGTTAATTATGAAGCTTGTCACATATCCAGAGTGAATACAAATGTAGGAATGCAGAAGTAAAAAACTGTTTATTGTCTTTGTTTTTCATAGCTTCTTTCAGATATCATGAATATCCAGTAAGAACAAATATATTCATCTTTAAAATACTGAAGCTAGTTCCTGGTTTCAAATGTTACCATCTTATTCTGTTAGTCAGTTGTTTACCTTGGCAAAATTCACTTTGCTAAGCCAGAGAGCTCTGTCCTTTTCCCTCTACAATTTGCTCTCAAAGTTAAGCACCAACATCCCAATTAAGCATCTCTTAGACCACAGCACCCATTACTTAAACTGTTCTATAATTGAATTCTATGTATTTTCTTTCTAAAATATTTAACTTGGTGATGGGCTTCATGGGAGGCCTATTGGACATTATTTGTTTTCACATTTATACTTGTTACTCATGATCCAATTATCACAATAAACACTTTTGGAAACAATGTCCTGTTTCAACTTTAGATCTTCATCTAAACCTGTCAGTTCTTCAAAATCAAGTACTTTTAAAAAAATGTATTTAAGTAGGTTTTTCCTGCATCTTTAACTGCCAACTCATTTTCCTTCCTAACTCTTCACACTGAAGCACTGTACCAGTCAAGTCATTATACATCTGTCTTACTTCTCTCTTCCCTTCCTCTGCCTTGCTCTGTCTACACAAGAGCTGCAACATACAAATATGCATGCAGGTATTTTATCTGTCAACGTATGCCCATATCTCTTTGCATGAAGCAAGGATTTGTCTTTTTGGTTTTAACTCTACCACATTTAGTAGGTGTTCAGCTAATATTTAAAAATCGTTATGAGGCTAAAACAAGGAGAAATTATTTCTCCTGGTTCTTTCACAGGTATTAACGACTAGAGAGATAAATGAAAAGATTAACAGTAGAAGTGTTTTCTGATCATGTATGTCATAAGGCATGAAAATCAAGTGGAAAAAGGTTGCTTTTCAAATCAATGCAAGTTGCTCAAAATATTTTTAAAATATGTATGTATGTTTGTATGTTATTCTCTATGGACTTAAAATATTTATGGAATTGAGCACAAAGATACTGCAGAGTATGGAAGAGCTTTTGGTAGAATTGAGAATCTAAATTTTATAAGGTTTATTTTTACATGTTCTTTACCTGTCCAATTTATATATTTCATTCAATATCAACTTTGTCAGGGTGGGTACTTTTTATATGCTACATATTTAGATGCTTTTGCTCATTTTCTATTTTACCTTGATAGATAATCTTCATGGCATAATGGAATTTTTATTCTTAGTCTGCATTTTAATACACTAACAAGCAACTGTAAGGACTGGGTTTTCTTCTTGATCACATCTCTTAAATTAATTACAAAGCATATGGACTTATATTTACAGGGCAATTTGTATTTGACACCATGAGTGTGGCTAACATTCTGAATAACCAAGAAATCGTACAAGCTCTGGCAGATGGATTGATGGAGCTTTCAAAAGAAAATTCTGTAAGTGTTCCTTTGAATAAAATAAGCTACAAAACCCCCAAAACTTAAATTTTAGTGTGAATTTACCACTTTATCCTTTAGGACACAATTCCTCAGAGAAACAGCATCAATTTATGAAAACAGCCACTGAAAGAGTCTGAACCCAAGATGTATTATTACACCAAAATAGACATATAGGAAAATCTTCTCAGTTATTTGCTATTAATCATATAGTACACTGATCTATCTTGTGATTAATTTCGGTCAGAAGTGACTCCTTTAAAAAAAAAACATGTTTAGTGGCTTATATTTCACATAAACATTATTCAACAGTTAAAACAATTAATAGTATGGCAGAAAAACTGAGAAAGTGTGAAACCAGCTAGAACAGATGAAAAGCAAGGAAGGCTAGATGAGAGAGGAAAGAAAAGAGAAAACAACAGAACAGAAACAAGCAAGGCAGTAATTTGGTTGGGGATAAGCTTGGGGAAAGCCTGAAAAAAATCAGAAGCAAATCTTGAATGCTCTTCCAGAAAAGTCAGTCCACATACCAGGACACAGTGAGGGGAGGCAGTGTAAAAACATACTCTGCCCTAATATCATAGAAAGGCTCTAGGAAAATAAAATACAGTCAACTCTATATATCCTTGGGTTCTGCAACCATGGGTTCTGCACCCTCAGATTCACCCAAACACATGTTGAAAATATTCATTAAAAAAAATTTCAGGGACTCACCTAGTGGCTAAGACTCCTGTGCTGTCAATTCAGGGGACCTAAATTCATTCCCTGGTCATGAAACTAGAACCCACATGCTGTAACTAAGACCTGATATAATCAATTAAATACATATTTTTTTTTAATTCCAAAAGTTTCAAAAGGTGAAACTTGAATTTAGCCATGCATTGGCAACTATTTACATAGTGTTTATACTGTACTAGGTACTATAAGTAATTGAGAGATGATTTAAAGTATATGGGAGGAACTTCCCTAGTGGTCCAGTGGCTAAGACTCTGCACACCCAATGCAGCGGGCCTGGGTTCAACCCCTTGTCAAGAAACTAAATCCTGAGAGCTGCAACTAAAGACTGAAAATCCCATGTGTGGCAAATAAGACCCGGTACAGCCAAATGAATAAATATGTAAAGTATATGGGGGTGTTTCCCAGGTAGTGCAGTTGTAAAGAATCAGCTTGCCAGTGCAGGAGATGCAAGAGACTTGGGTTTGATTCCTAGGTCAGGAAGATCCCCCAAAATAGGAAACGGCAACAAGCTCCTGTATTCTTTTTTTTTTTTTCCATTTATTTTTATTAGTTGGAGGCTAATTACTTTACAATATTGTAGTGGTTTTTGCCATACATTGACATGAATCAGCCATGGATTTACATGTGTTCCCCATCCCGATCCCCCCTCCCACCTCCCTCTCCACCCGATCCCTCTGGGTCTTCCCAGTGCACCAGGCCCGAGCACTTGTCTCATGCATCCAACCTGGGCTGGTGATCTGTTTCACCCTAGATAATATACATGTTTCGATGCTGTTCTCTTGAAACATCCCACCCTCGCCTTCTCCCACAGAGTCCAAAAGTCTGTTCTATACATCTGTGTCTCTTTTTCTGTTTTGCATATAGGGTTATCGTTACCATCTTTCTAAATTCCATATATATGTGTTAGTATACTGTAATGGTCTTTATCTTTCTGGCTTACTTCACTCTGTATAATGGGCTCCAGTTTCATCCATCTCATTAGAACTGATTCAAATGAATTCTTTTTAATGGCTGAGTAATATTCCATGGTGTATATGTACCACAGCTTCCTCATCCATTCGTCTGCTGATGGGCATCTAGGTTGCTTCCATGTCCTGGCTATTATAAACAGTGCTGCGATGAACATTGGGGTGCACGTGTCTCTTTCAGATCTGGTTTCCTCGGTGTGTATGCCCAGAAGTGGGATTGCTGGGTCATATGGCAGTTCTATTTCCAGCTTTTTAAGAAATCTCCACACTGTTTTCCATAGTGGCTGTACTAATTTGCATTCCCACCAACAGTGTAAGAGGGTTCCCTTTTCTCCACACCCTCTCCAGCATTTATTGCTTGTAGACTTTTGGATAGCAGTCATCCTGACTGGTGTGAAATTGTACCTCATTGTGGTTTTGATTTGCATTTCTCTGATAATGAGTGATGTTGAAGCTCCTGTATTCTTGCCTAGAAAATTCCATGGACAGAGGAGCCTGGTGGGCTATAGTCCATGGTGTCACAAAGTGACAGTGAAAGTTGCCCAGTTGTGTGCGACTCTTTTCGATCCCACAGACTATAGCCCACCAGGCTACCCTGTCCATGGAATTTTCCAGGCAAGAGTACTAGAGTGGGTTGCCATTTCCTTCTCCAGGGGATCTTCCCGACCCAGGGATGGAACCTGGGTCTCCCACACTGCAGGCAGACGCTTTAACCTCTGAGCACACAAACCAAAGTATCTGGGAGAGTGTCCTAGGTTGTATGTAAGTACTACACCATTTTACATAAGGGACGTGAGTATCTGAGAATTTTGGTATCTGCAGAGGTCCGATGCATAAGGAGGTATAATTGTTGCAGGCCTCAGTTCAGGGGAAGCTGAGAACAGGACAGGAATGGGGTATTATTAACATACCTGATGCTGTATAAGGCTTGTAGTTTTCCAGGAAACAGTTCTCAAATCCTTCCTTCCCACTGTAATAATTATACTTTGTGGGGGATTTAACATTGGCTTTGGACACTTTCTCCTTATCCATCATGGTTTCAACTTGGCTTCCTGGGTAAGCACCAGACATCTCCTGGGCTCATGGCCCAGTGTGGAGCCTGAGGAGTTGCAGGTAGCCTTCTCTGAAGACTCAATTTTCCAGTGCACTAGCCAACCCTCTCACAGCCCAGCAATAAAGGCCCTGGAGAATTCTGCTGATAATACGATCAGGAATGTTCACAGGGATAATCCTGAGGCCCTGAAATTCTCTGCACTGTTCTCAAACACCAAAGAATTATTCAATGTTTGATGTTGGTTCATGGTGTTTATGCCACCAAATTATTTAAAAATAACCTTGTATCATATAATTTTCATGGTGTTCAAACCTACAGCCTGAGAGGGAACCAGATTTGGGAGTCTCACCAGGGTGTTTTCCCAAAGAACTCTGCTGCTTGGAGGCTCTCTTCTTTCCGCTGTAACACACCAAAGTTGTCCTGTCTCCTTTCCTCCTCTGGCTAAGAGGCCAGTGTGGGCCACTTTGGTTCTGAAGACCTTGAGACCCTCCCACAAGACCTTGGCATCCTCACTGAACTGTAACAATAAGCTGAGAACCAAGATTAACCAGAAAGCCTCATTTACTACCTCAAACAGTTACTTTGTTTTCTAGACTTGTAAATTAATTAGGCAGAAAGCTGAAAATGCTACTAGAAAATGTGTTCTCATATCTGCTGCACTCTTGTTGACCTGCATTTGAAATAAAAATTGTTCTGGGGGGGGGGGTTGGTAATCTTTCAGGACAACCCTCTGGAATTTTTGTCATATTTTCTGCTGAAGAAATGTAGTAAAAAGAGCAAGCATTTTGAAAGAAATGTCATTCTGACAAAAAGTGACCCAAAAGCAACACACAATTTACTCACAAAGGTAAAATTACTGTGGTATTTTTATGCTGTTGCTTCACTGTACAGTTCGAGAAATGTGCTTAAGAAATTCATAATCAGTAATGATAATTCTAACCTGGAAAGCTTTCAATTTGTCATTTCTTGTAAGAACTTCATTTTCATGGATTTTTATTTTTAAAAGGGTGTTTTGTAGTTTCATAATGTTAGTAACAATCTACTTGATTAGTGGATTACATGGCATCATGCTGATGAGAGTAACACTAGTTGACTCTTGGGGGAAGAATTGAATACGTGTATTCTGTCCAACATAACCTAAAGAGATTTTTTTTTTTTTTTTCATTTGCATCCCAGGACACTTTTTTGCTGAAACTAAAAATTGTTCTTTTTTTTTTTTTTTCTTTTAGTTGAGATTCAAATTCATAAAAGAAAAAAAAGTGGGTTTGAAGCTAGTTCTTTAGTCGAGCAAAAATAATTTTGCCAGTACTATATTCAGAATACGTACATTCTTGGTTAAGTGAAGTAATATGGATTCAGGAAAAACTGAAAATTGCATTGTCATTCAGAGAACTGATTTCTATGAAAATGCCATTTCATGCCCATTGGAAAAGCACCTATCTCTGATGATTGAAGGCTGGGAATGCCACCCCTAACACAAAGTCACCGTGGAGACTGTTAGGAAAAATAGACTTGTAAGTTCCCCTAGTAGCAAATCGTGTGTTGCCCTATTAACCTGATATTCTGGAAGACTTTGTTGCCCTAGCTTTCAGGACAGCACAGTGCAGGGGAAAGCAAACGGTGCCCCGCTGGGGCCGCATCCTCTCCGCCAAGCTGCCCTAGACTCACTCAGCAGAATGAAAGGCCTGCAGTTATGAAGCCCCTGCCCTCTGGCTTTAGTAGACCATGCCTCTTAGCAGAACCCCCACCCCCTGAAGCAGCTTATTCTCTCCAACCACAAGCATCCTCTCCAGCAGGAGTCTTGATAAACACATTCCCAGGGACATCAAAGCCTTTAGATGTTAGAACCCTGCTTCCTTGTAGCCTGACCCCTAAATCTATCTCTTAGGAAACTCATAGACCATGTACTCATCAGGGTTCTCCAGAGAATCAGAACCAATAGACCTGCTCTTGTTACATCACCTTCCTGTAATAAAACTACAGAAATCTTAAAGTCCTTAATGCCTGGGAATATCTTTGATATTTTCCGTTTTTAAAAATAAAATTAAAAAAAAATAGGTGTTATATTCTTATTTTGGTTTCTGTTATTTAACACTTGGGAGCCTGTGCACAATGCCCATGAAACAAAGTTGGTGGCCCTAGGAAGGAAAACCACAGATTAAATATAGAGGCTGAATTTGGATAAAATGGAGGTGAGTTTCTCCACACCTTGGAGTTTATTTTTAAAAGTGTAGATATTCATCCAGAAGAGCACACAAATTCTCAGCCATGGGCATGGAAAGTAATGCCTTCTTCTGAGACAACTGTTTTATAGATTCTTCCACAAGGGTTTGTATAAGAGGATTAGTCTGCCAAATCCAGGACCAAATACACATACATATATACATATACATAGGTAGACAGCTCACTCTATAAATCTATCTATCTATCATCTTGCTGCCCAGTCAGTAGTACAGTAGTAACTCCTGGCCTTGATATGCCTGCAGTGTTTACCCTGATGCTATAGAACCATGGTGATAGGTCACAGCCAGAATCATAGTTGTTCTTCAGCACTATCATTTTTACAACTACTGCATGCATGCTCAGCTGCTCAGTCGTGTCCAACTCTGCGACCCCATGGAGTAGCCTGCCAGGCTCCTCTGTCCATAGGATTTCTCAGGCAAGAATCCTGGAGTGGGTTGCCATTTCCTTCTCCAGGGGATCTTCCGGACGCAGGGATCAGACTACATTTCCTGTGGTTCCTGCATTGGCAGGTGGATTTTTCTTTCTTTCTTTCTTTTTTTTTTTTTTTTTTACTACTGAGCCACTGGGGAAGCCTCACAACTCTTTCTGGACCCTAATTCAGGTAGTCAATTGTTTTCTGGGAGAAGCATCAGCAATAAGTAGGATGTTAGCAATAACTAAGATCCTAGAGGAAAATTCCAAATATGTGATCCAAAGTCTCCCTTACAGGCCATGGAGAGAGTCAAGGCAAAGGCCCATCGACTCAAAATAATTGTTTCCTTAAAAATGTGTGAAGTTTCCTGCTCCGTTACTTCCTTCAAGTTCATGTTTCAAAATGAATAGCAAATGGCATCTTAACCTAAGAACAGGCTCTAAAAATCCTAATAATTCGATAATATAAAATGAGAGAACGTGTTGTTTTTAGTTTTAAACAAAATTACTATGTCAAATTGACTTGCTATCCACAAAGAAAAATTTACATTTAAGAAATAGCTGTAGCTGGGAATTCCCTGGTAGTTCAGTGGTTTAAAAATTCTTAAAAAGCTGTTGCTGAGCCAGAGATGAAACAAAGCCCAGTCTGAGTAAGCAGGTTCTAAGATAGCCAGGGTAGTCTAGGAGTCCACTGCTGAGCTTCAGTGACTGAGCACTCATGGGAGCCTGTCCAAAGGGATGATACCCCAGATAAGGGGGCCTCTGTCATCTGTAGAATCCACAATCCAAATCTGTATGGCTTGGGTTCTCTTAACCTCCAGTCAAGCAGGCTGAGCTTCATTTTCATTTTATGCCTGCAACCACATCTACCTACACGACTGCAGTGTCACTGCTGACTGGTTGAAGTTATCATTTCTCTACATGAATGATCAGCATTATTACATATTTTGAAAGAAGACAATGTTCCACGCATGGAAATTTTGAATTATTTTGTCAAAATTCAAAGTAGATCCCCCCCCCCCAACCCAGCATAAATATAAATACTGGAGTAGGAAATGACAACCCACTGTAGTATGCTTGTCTGGAAAATTCCATGGAAAGAGGAGCCTGGCAGGCTATAAAGTTCACGGGGTCACAAAGAGTTGGACCTGAGTGAGCACACACGCACGCAAGTATAAATACATGCCAGACTGGTGTGGGTCAGCCCCAAATGGGGAAGAGAAAGGACATGGTGAAAAGACTACGTGGAGCAGCCATGAAGTGCTCACACTCAGGTGTGGGGCCTGCAGGCCCAGGAGAAACTGGCTGGCTACATGTGCTTCTGGGCCCAGGGGTCTTACACAAAGGCTTCAGGCAGCCATGAGGGATGTCTGGAGGTACAAAATAAAAGTGTGTCTTTGTCTGAGTAGAGTAAGGCAAAAGGAGTCTTGGTTATAAATTGGTGTTTTTTTTCTAGTTTCACTCCTACATATCAAGGTTGCCATGGATAGTTTTATCTTTGACTCGGAAGGGCAGCAGTAGTGACCATTAATCATCATTAGCTTTCAACACAAACGTGAGACCATTGTTCCATTTCTCGGGTGGACCCTGGGATGCTGCAGACAGAAGGGGGGTTATTTTTTAATGTGATAATTTATATGGAGGCCACAAGAAAAATTAACAAGGCAAAGTGGGGAAAGAATAAGCCATATTTAAATGTGGAAACGGATCTAGAAATGCCATGTGAATTTCTTTATGACACTTTTTCATTAGGTGAAAAAAGAGGTGAATTTTACAAAGTACTGTGAACATTTCTTCTAGCATCTTGAAAGTAAGGTAACATGTGCTCACTGCTGCCAGAACTGAGGCAGAGACCTATTTCCCAGGCAAGTGTGAAGAGCTGCTCCCAGGGAAAATGGCAACTGCACTGAATTGAGTTTCTTAACACAGTTCCTAGGAAGCAAAAAGTTATTTTTTTATTTAAACATAAAATTTAATTTTGTTGAGTTCTTAACTTATGTGTCTAGAGAACTCTGTGATTAGGGCCAAAGGCAGAGCTACTGAAATCCTCCTGTGGGCTTAGCACTGACTAGGCATTTAGATATTCCAGGGCCTGCCTCCAAATAATCAAGTCTGCATTTAATCCTCAGGAAAGAGATGTTATAGAAGATAACCCTCAGGACACAAAACCAAGTCTCAGCAAAAATGATCCAAATTTTGAGTTGCTGGTTAAGCTGGTAAGCCAACTATTCTGGTTTGTTCTTTCTTTTTTCTTGAGAGTTTCTCTTAGGGGGGAAAAACCCCAAATATAACTGGAGGAGATCCAACCAGTAGCTTTTTCTTTTGAGTAAGTCCTGATCTAAAAAGAAGCTGAGCCAAAGGGATGGACATGAAACATCTTGGCAACAACAGTCATCTCTGTGCTACTCCATGCTTTTCTAATAGGATGCTAGAAAGGCATTTAAAAAAATGGTCCACAGACACGAAGGTTCACAGTTTCTAACCGACCCATCAACTGCTGATGGAGTATAATCAAGCAGTCACAGTTTCTAACCGACTCATCATCAGCTACTGTCTGATTTCAAATGTTGAGGATAATCAATATAACCTTTAGGGCTGTCTTTCGAAGGGTAGTGGGTGGAGGATGTGTGGACCGGCAGAGGCCTGGTCCCATACTGCTGGTTAGCACACAGCGCATGCGTGCCGCCTAGCATTTCTACAACACACATCCAGTTTTACTATCACGTTTCAACCTCAGAATCCTGAAAAGCAGACATTAGAACCCGCATTTTGTCGGAGAGGAAGTCAAGTCAGAAAACTTAAAATGATTTCCTTAAGGTCAAGCAACAGGCAGAGAGAAACGTTTGAATCCTGCAGAAGGGCGTTCAGCCCTGGGCTCTTTCCCAACTACACAATAGCTGGGACCCGTCTGCCTACAGTGGATTGTCGGGAGCCGGCACACGAGATCCCACCCCTGACAAGGTCATGAGGAGAAATCCTGACAGGCAAGGCGGATCAGGTTTTCAGGGATTCCGAAAAGCTGCCCCCGGCGCTCACCTTAAAGATGATATCTGTCTTTCTGATGCTTGCTTCAATATACTCCCTAATTTCTGTGACACAGGCAGAACGCCTTCCCCGATCTCTTCCCAAATAAGAATCAATTTAGAACTTTAATCTATAAGTTTCCCAGGTGGTGGTATTTTATGAGATTATCCAGGGTGAAAGGAGTGTTTTAATTTAAACTCCTTTGCTGGTATTTTAGTTTGTTTGGCAAATGCATTTATGCCCTTGGTACTAATATGCATGACTGCTCATAATACCCTAATCATAAAACAGCATAAAGAACCTGATCATATAAAGGCCCTAATAGACATAGAGCCTTTTTGAGGGGTGAAGGAGTCCTATTAGAAAACACAAGAAAAATTATTCTAAAAGTGGTTATTGGGTTGACGTTTGCTTGCTGTGTTTTGTTTGCTGTGTTTTGCTTGCTGTGTTTTTACTCTTAATGTGCTAAGGTTGTGCAGTGGAAACCATTGTTAATATAGTTAAAGGTCTAGAAAAATAAGAGCTTAGCCCTAGTGTGGTAACAATGAGATGGTTGTTAATTGTCACCCAGGAGTGCTAGGCAGAGGCTGCTTCACCAAAGTCGCAGAGTCAGTGTGGGGTAAACTTCTTAGATAAACTCAACTGACAACTTCTGCAGAAGGATTAATTTTTGTGTTAACAAGGTTATACTTCTACTCTGTACTGTTGCCCTATGAGACTGCTACCTTTCAGTTAAGGTCACCATAGAAATGGAAAATAGGTTTACATTCACCTGACCTGCATAAAATGTTAATAGGCCCCAAGGCCAGAAGATAATGTACAAGACCCTCATAAACAAAGAAGTATGCAGAAAACACCCTGGTTTCATGAACAAGCTGATGTAATGTTAAACTATTTTCCCCTAGAAATGTACTAACTTAGGGTATAAAAGCTACGGTAAAAAATAAAGCACTGCCAGACTCTGCCAGACCCTGCCAGACTCTGCTGCACCCCCCGTCTGGTCACTCTCTCTCTCTCTCTCTCTCTCCCTCTCCCTCGCAGACTTGGCCCTATCAAGGCTGGTCTCACATGTCTTCCCTCTCTCTCTCGCCAACACTGTTCATCCTGAGGGTACCCCCTGGATCCTGCCGAGGCTGGACCCCGGCAGTGGATGGTGCCTACAGTCCGCCTACAGTGGACAGTGTCCCTGTGCACCTCGGCGGCCACGGGCTCACTCAGCCCCACGCCATCCCCAGGAACCACCCAGGAAGAGACGGTTTACAAGGAAACAAATACGACAGTATCTCCTCTGACCATTGGTGATAATACTGCACAATGGTTTTGTTACCCAAACACAACTCCATATGCCCAACGCACAGTGAGGCCAAACATACCAAGTTATGAGTTCGGAGCAGAGAAAAGTTAATGGCAGGGCCAGGCAAGAGACAGGTGGCTCAGGCCTTAAAAACCCCAAACTCCCTGAAAGCTCTCAGCAAAGCCCTTTTCTAGGCAAGGTGAGGGGGAGTGTGGTTAGTCCTTGCAGACTTCTCCGTGTCAGAGCCTTTGTTCTTGAGGTCAAGTCATGGTCAGGTAATGATGTTCCTATAAATTTCTACCAAACAAACATTATCCTCTGTTCTGACAGGAAAGGGCCAGGTCCCAAGGCACGCTTTCACCCTCTGAGTTCTGGTCTTGGCTGAGAGGAGGCAGATTTCAACTGGTGACTCCCTCAGGGCCAGGTCCCAGACCCTGCCCAGCCGGCATCACTGACGGAGCCAGGCACCTCAGGCTCCTCAGGCCGCCCAAATGGCAGGGACAGGTTCTGGAGACCAAGTCCCAGGCACATGGCCACTACCATTAGGTCACAGAGGTGGGATGGGGGAGAAGCTCACCACTGCCTCAAGGCCTGGGGCTCGGCCAGTGGGCCGCCTTGGCAAGAGCTCCAGAGCCCTGCAGAACAGGGCCCCTGCTGGCCCAAGGCTGGGTGAGCTAGAGAACCCAGGGAAAAAGCTGAGATCCACCTCTTACCTCACTTTCTTGTGGTTAGTCCTTGCAGACTTCTCCGTGTCAGAGCCTTTGTTCTTGAGGTCAAGTCATGGTCAGGTAATGATGTTCCTATAAATTTCTACCAAACAAACATTATCCTCTGTTCTGACAGGAAAGGGCCAGGTCCCAAGGCACGCTTTCACCCTCTGAGTTCTGGTCTTGGCTGAGAGGAGGCAGATCTCAACTGGTGACTCCCTCAGGGCCAGGTCCCAGACCCTGCCCAGCCCGCATCACTGACGGAGCCAGGCACCTCAGGCTCCTCAGGCCGCCCAAATGGCAGGGACAGGTTCTGGAGACCAAGTCCCAGGCACATGGCCACTACCATTAGGTCACAGAGGTGGGATGGGGGAGAAGCTCACCACTGCCTCAAGGCCTGGGGCTCGGCCAGTGGGCCGCCTTGGCAAGAGCTCCAGAGCCCTGCAGAACAGGGCCCCTGCTGGCCCAAGGCTGGGTGAGCTAGAGAACCCAGGGAAAAAGCTGAGATCCACCTCTTACCTCACTTTCTACCAGAAGACCACCACTCGCGCTGACGGTTGGCGGAATGCTCCCACCAACGGTAGCTTATTGACAGTTGGTTGTTTGTGGGCGGGGCCACTGTGCCACCAACCAATGACTGAGCAGGAACGCTAACAGTCTCTCAGTAGCCGTTGCCTGGTAACAGGGTGGGGTGGGGGTGGGGCTAATGGTTCACAGCAATGGCCCGGCGCTAAGAGCTATGCTGGGCAGCGCTCTATTATAGTTTCAAGATAACAGCGGAAGTTTGACAACTGAAGCCTTAAATCAGAATCGTTATAAATATTATAATGATTAATTATAATGATTATTATAAAAACGCCAGTATTTTAAAGATCACTTCATGGCAAATAGATGGGGAAACAATGGAAACAGTGACAGACTTTATTTTAGGGGGCTCCAAAATCACTGCCCATGGTGACTGCAGCCATGAAATTAAAAGATGCTTGCTCCTTGGAAGAAACATTATGACCAACCTAGACAGCATATTAAAAAGCAGAGACATTAACTTTTCTAACAAAGGTCTATCTAGTCAAAGCTATGGTTTTTCCAGTAGTCATGTATGGATGTGAGAGTTGGACTATAAAGAAAGCTGAGTGCTGAAGAATGGATGCTTTTGAACTGTGGTATTGGAGAAGACTCTTGAGAGTCATTTGGATGGCAACATAAAGGATATCAGTCCTGAATATTCATTAGAAGGACTGATGCCGAAGCTGAAACTCCAATACTTTGGCCACCTGATGTGAAGAACTGACTCATTGGAAAAGGCCCTGATGTTGGGAAAGATTGAAGATGGGAGGAGAAGGGGACGACAGAGGATGAGATGGTTGGATGGCATCATCGACTTAATGGACCTGAGTTTGAGTAAGCTCCAGGAGTTGGTGATGGACAGGGAGGTCTGGTGTGCTGCAGTCCTTGGGGTCCCAAAGAGTCAGACACGACTGAGCGACTAAACTGAACTGAAATACACATAAAATATAATATGGACTGTAAGCCAGCTGCCAATGGATATGGATGTAATTTTAAACTCATTGTGCCTGCTCAGTTGCCCAGTCTTGTCTGACTCTTTGTGACCCTGTGGACTGTAGCCCACCAGGCTCCTCTGTCCATGGGATTCTCCAGGCAAGAATACTGGAGTGGGTTGCCATTTCCTCCTCCAGCGAATCTTCCTGACCCAGGGATCAAACCTGTGTCTCCAATATCTCCTGCATTGCTGTGGATTCTTTACTGCTGAGCCACCAGGGAATTTAAACTGTCTAAATAGGCTTTATATACAATAGGCATGTGTTTGAAAGATTAAAACTAACCAAGAACAGTGTTTATAGTATTTCAAACAGAATGAATGTTCTGATTCTTCTCTCAAATTATTTTCACATTTTAATTTTAGCTCATGAAATTATGGTTGACATTTCAGGTGCAGATCACATGGCATTAAACATTAGTATTGTCATATTTTATTTGGGGCAGTGTGGGGCAGGGCTGGAGGGGAAAGAGGAAATTGTGTTTTAAGAGTTTTAATTGTTCTAGGTGCAAATACAAGGCCATTAGATTTTTAAAATTTGAATATTGTGATTGTTTTCTAGATTGTAAAAATACTAATTTTACAACTTCAAAAGTATAAATAGAAGGGAAAGAATCCTAATTCCAGTAAGGAAAATTAATTTCTCCAATCATAAACATTGCACCCAATATCAGGGTGTGGGATTTCTTTATATCAGTGCATGGCTTTTCCCTTGGCATTGCTAAAACAGGACTTTGATATATAGAAAGCATAGAATATCGGGAAACCTAACTACCCAGGAGAGACAGTACTTTTTCCTAAACACAGAAAGAAGAGCATGATTTTGGTATTTCATAATACACAGCAGGAAATAACTATTGAACTATTTGATAATGAGAGGTCTAGCTCATTTCAGTCTTGTTTACACGATAATCAATAAAACACTACTGGAAAAAAAAAAAGAGGAAAACAATGCACAACCCAAAGGCTTTCTCACCATCACCTCTGTAAGGGCAGAATTCTGCCTTCACATCATTGTAGCGCCAACACCTAACACATGACACTAGATATCTATTTGGATGGATAGATGGATAAAAGTAAATTCTCAACCTGCACCTTCTCAAGATTCAAGAGTCCAAGGCCCATCTCTACTATGGCATCAGGCTGGCCAGTGTGAGGGACAATTTGATGATGGGGACAAGCAGTGGTCAGCAGAGTCCTCCACATTCCCTTATCAAGTTTACCTTCAGCCCTGCGTATCACGAACCAGAAATACACCCTCAGAGTGACTGCCTGACTGCTCAATACTTTCATTTCTCTGTCTCCTTTGACCATCAGGCTTTTTGATGATGGAAGCCTGAAATGAGTCATTACACTTTCCTTCTGAGTTCTTAATGCTTTTCCACAGGAGAGAAAACTCCAGCTGGATTCAGCCGAAAAGCGAACGAGAGTCGTCAGGGAACTCTTCAAGAGCGAGAGAAAATATGTGCAGATGCTGGAAATTGTGAGAGATGTTTACGTGAGGCCACTGAGAGCGGCACTGTCATCAAACAGAGCCATTCTGAGTGCTGCAAACATCCAGATCATGTTCTCTGATATTCTGCAAATCTTATGTCTCAACAGGTAAACTCTGAATAGCTATATTTTGAAATATGCATTGTAGTATGGGAGGAGCACACACTTGTTTCAAAAAGTTATACAGAGGCTCAGTCATTCTCTGCCCTTCCCGGGGACACTGCCTGATCCTCTCACAGAGGAGAGACGACTCTCGACAGTGGGCTGCAAACAGCAGTGATGACTCCTGGGGTGTATCCCTGCCTGGACTCAGAGCCACAGTACAAGGGGTGGAGTTCAGTGCCTGGGGATTCTATATTCATCATGCTATTTATGCCAAAGACAATGGGAAGGGGAGCTGTTCATAGTCATCAGCGTTTGGCTGATCAGTGGGAGAGGAACAGGAGGCTGTAATCGGATTAAGTCACTAGAATACTTTGCTTAGAGAACCAGAGGCTGGGGATTTGTGTAATAACAGTATATGTATATGGAAGGGTTGAGAGAGAAAATTGATCATTTGCACTGAATAAAGTAAGACAAACTGAACTTGTGTTTCTCTGCCAGTAACTCTTTAGATAACTTAGAACAAGTTCCTTAGCTTCGGGGACCCCAGATTCTATAAAAGGAACTGGTGTGCTTCCAGTTTTGAAATTCTGTGATGGCTGAAGAATAACCTTTGATCCAAGGGAAATGGGCTTAGTGGCGGTGATGGCATTTTCAGCCACTGAAGTGAGTTGAGCACCCTCCTCTGAGGACTGTAAGAAACTGTCCCCAGACAAAGGGCAGAGGGAACACAGGGCAGCCTCTCCAGGCCAGCCTGGGATCCCGACTCAGCCCCCAAATCAACCTGCTTCCTCCCTTTCCGGCGCTGTGTCAAGGCGAAAGGATCTGACAAAAGCCCCGCCCTAAATGACTGAGAACAAATTTATTTTTTATAAGTTATAGGCTATCACTGGTCAATATTTCACAGCCATGCTTTTCTCATGTTGCAGGCGGTTTCTAGGTGACCTGAGAGACAGACTACAGGAATGGGGCCCCGCTCACTGTGTGGGAGAAATATTCATAAAGTTTGGAAGCCAGTTGAACATGTATACCAATTTCTTCAACAATTATCCTATGGTTCTAAAAACTATTGAGAAGGTAACAGATTGAGGGACCATCCACGCATTTAATTAGATCTTCTGAACTTGCGAGGACTAGAAGGACTAGAATTAGTAGGAAAGACTTCTTTTCTATCCTTGGCTTCCAGATCTCCTCCTCTGGTTTACCTTGAGCTCTTTGAGGATGAGGGCACTGACTTAGTTTTGACCCCTAGGGGCTGGCACAGCGCTTGACCCAGCAGTGCCTAGGAACTGGCTGTGGGACTGAACTAGCCCTCATGCAGATTTCCGGACTCCCACCTGCCCCAGTTACCCTAGGGCTTGGTTATAGGAACATAGTTCACAGTTAGGCAGAAGCAAAACTGTGAACCCTGCTTTCACACTGCCTCTACAACCCGTGGGGTGAGTCCAGCTCTCTCATGGAGAAAAGGAATTCGTAATCATGTGTTGGAATAATGACACTCAATGTGTGAAATCTCACGATAAAATAAGGAATTCCTTTGTCTCGTATTCCCGACCAAGTGCCTTTTAAACAGTTGTCTTCGTTATGGCAATGTGTATGTAGTCTGAGCAGGACTATGCGGCTCTCATCTGTGCCCCTTGCTGCTCTCATTGGGATCTCCTCTGATGGCAATAAGATACCTCCTTTCCCTCCTCGGTTTGCATCAAAAGGGCAGCAGGAGGGGCACCTTGGGACGTGGTGGTGCCCTCTGCCCTGTCCCTGTCTGCTGTGGCCCTGCCCACCTGTCTGCCCTGAGGCCCTGAAGTGAAGGCCTGGGGCTGGGAGGTCTCTGAACACTTCCTGACCTCAGACATCTCCCTTTGTCGTCTTCTTCCTGCTCCACCCCGGGGAGTTTAAGCTCTGCTGCGCAAGTCGATTATGTGAAAGTTGCATGAATAAAGCAGTATCATAGAACTGACCTTTAGGACAAGAATTGGAGCAAAGCACATCACGTTATCATAGCAGATTGGTGCCAGCAATTTTATAGTTATGGATAATAATGTGTCTATTTCACTAGCATGGGGGGTGCATATAAGTAAGTACTCAGTAAATGTTAGCTATTAATATTATTGAAATCAGTGACTATTTGATTTCTAGAAATTAGAATTACTGGCATCTGAGAAAAATGAGGTGACTTCCTGGGGGCTGTAATGGTGAGATTTTAAGTACAAAGGAGCACCTTCTTAATGTTATTGTGGAAAACATGCTTAAGAGCAGAATCACACACCAATCCCTACACTTAACACTTATTGTGTGGCAGGCACTCTATGGATAGGATTTCCGCCCCCTCCCCAGCCCCTCACCAAAAGAGTTAGCTGTGACATCCATAAGAAGACTGAGGCTCAGAGGAGTTAAGTAAGCTTGACAAAGTCACATAGAATTAGATAAAATTAAATTAGAATTCTAATCCAGGCCTACCTGCATGCAAAGTTCATTTTTATTTTTCTATACTGATTAAGCTCAATGACTAGGGTTAATTTATGGTAATAATTAATACATTATACTTAGGATATCAGGAAGCACCTATAGTATTAATAGTACTGTGATTTGGTGTAGATGTTGCCCTTTTGCTTTAAGCGCTTCATAGATTATGCTTGTCTGGTGGGACAGAAACAACACTTCACAACTGTCTTACAGAATTTTGACAATATAACTCTCACCTTAGTGCAGAGAAATGATACCAGCATTCCGAGCTTTCCTGAAGAGGCACGATAAGACCATTGTTACCAAAATGCTGAGGTAAGCTCTGAGGGAGAGCACAGCTAGGGCACGCCAAGGCCTGGAGTTCTGTGGCCTCAGTAAGAGACCAGAGCTCCCTTCTCTCTGCGCCTCCTAGTCTTCCGGAGCTGCTTTTGTACCCATCCCGAAGGTTTGAAGAATATCTTCATCTTCTCTATGCTCTGAGGCTTCACACTCCTGCAGAACATATTGACCGTGGAAACTTGACCATTGCAATTGACCAAATCAAAAATTACAAAGGCTACATAGATCAGGTTGGTTGCTGGTAAGAGTCTGTGTCCTTTAAAAATGTTCTAATGCTTTTGTGGTACTCTGACTCAAAGGTTCCGAAATCCCTTAGCTTCTTGGGGTTCTCTTCAAACTTTTTCATCCTTTTAATGCTAAATCATTGTATTCAGTGATATTGAGCACTGAGGGCCTTTATTCTAAACCAAATGTTTTCAGATATCTCTATAAGTACACTTAGACAGATTTTAAAGAAAAGAGCAAACCTCTTTGTTTCTGAAAGTACTTCTTAATGTGTTAGTCAACTTTCCTGCCTAAGAAAGTACAGCAATCACAGTTATTCTCTGCAAGATTTGATCATCTTGGAGTATAGGACTACCATTCTGAACATGTCACTGTGATGGGCACACAGCCCAGGAGTCTGGGCTGAATGGTAACAATAACACAGTACACCCAGAAAAAAACTTTTTGGACAGTCTTGCCACTTGCCTCTTTGTTTTAAAACACTGGGTACAGGAAATAGAGTCTTATGATAGTTTATGAAAATACCACAATATTATCAAGTGCCATAACATATTTTAATCTGTTTTTATGTATAAAAATATCACAATTTCAGTTTGCCTAAAATCACTTTCTTTTCTAGATGAAGCAGAACATCAATATGAAAGATCACCTGTTAGACATACAGAGACTCATCTGGGGGTGCCCTGTACGTATTCTAATGCACTTGCTACATCTCATGCTCAAAAAGGAGACAGAGATTCTGATGCAGCTAACATCTGTTGAGTGCCTGTTGTATGCCAGGTGCTGCCTTGTTATCCTTGTTATCTGCAAGGATGCTAGATGAGAAGAGGCACAAGTGGGTTGGACCCCATCTCAAGATTTCTCTGTAGTCTTAGCACCTTGCTTGGTACTACAGAGCTCATGACCCGCTTTGAGGAGTGGGGCCACGTCTTTATTGTTTTCTATCTCCCTGCACATAATGTCTGGTGCAGGATTCTGCCCACTGAGGACATCTGTAAAAATCCTAGAAGTCCTCTGTTAGTTATCTGTTACCTACGGAATATCGTCTGACTCATTCTGCTTTCCTTCTCATTGCCTTGCCTACCACCTTATGATCAAACCACACAGACACACTCACAGTTCTCTAGTGATGTCAGCCTCTCCCTACACATTTGTGTTTTGCTCATGCCCTTCCCTCTAAGAAATTGCTTCTTTTTCTGCTCCACTGGATAAACTCCTATTCATACTTTAAAGATCCAGTTCAAGTATCATCTGCCTTGAAAAGTCTCCCCTGACATCTCCAGATGTGAGTTGCCCTTTCCTCGGTATTCTCAACACCCTGCCCCTCCCTGTCACACTTTCTTACAGTCCTTTATCCACAAGATTGGGAGCTCCATTAAGTATGAACTAGTGTCTTCTAGTGTTCAGCATATAGCGGGAGTTTAATATGTGAATTATATTGAATTAAAGTACCAATCGATTGTGGTTTTATTTGGCCAAATTGAGGAAGCAAAATGCAGTTGTTTTGGCCTAGTTTATATCTGCACATTTTGAAAGGGAAAGAGTAATGGGATTGATTGGGTTACAGAAAATCCAAAAATCTTGGGGCTCACAAAGTCCACAGAACGTTATCTCTGGATCACTATATGCCCCAAGTGATCATCTCCATGGCTAGATCAGTAAAAGAGCCTGACATCTTAATTTGTAACATTTCATTCACTTCCTTTTCTTGATAGATCCCTTCTGACTCACCCACATCCCCGCTTTATTTTTGGTAGTAGGAAAGCATTTATAATAAAAAAAAATTTCAATAGTTTTAAAAATTAGACAACTCCCTCAAGTATAGTTTTAAAAACAATGCTTTTTTCATAATTGAACTTAGTTATACTCACCACTTACATCTTTTGGGATATGATTACTCAGTAGTGAGACTTATTTTATAAAATATATATATATATTTCTAATTCTTTTTGTTTATTTCATAGACTCTATCAGAAGCAAACAGATATCTGATTAGGGTTCAAGATGTGGCCCAACTTCACTGCTGTGATGAGGACATAAGTCTCTATTTAAGGTAAATATTCAGCTATCCTATGGCTATGAGTGTTTCTTACTTATCTTGTACCCAGAATCCAGTACAATGTCTGTCATATTGTAGATATACAATAAATCTTTGTGTGGATCTGAAAAGTCACACATGCACCCCTCTGAGACACGTGAGGTGTTTATCACCTTACTCACATTCCAGGCAGCTACTTCGTAGAATGTAAGAAACTAAACTGTCATTGTCTGGGCCACTAACTCGAGACATGGGATTTCTGGTTTGGTCACTTTCCTACTGAGAGGAGAGCTGATGTGAGATATCACATGGATGATCTGCTCAACTCTAAGAAAGAGAAGACCAGTTAATTACCTGCAGTTAGTTACTGAGGTCAGCACTTGAAAGGTCTCACCATAGGACCACCATTGTATTGAGGTCTCACATGTCTAGTTTGCACAGTGCTCACAGTAGTGTAAAAATTATTGTGATGCGAAGGTGCTAACATGTCCTTTTCTCCTTTACAACAAGGATGGGCAAACTTTTTCTATAAAAGGTCAGATGGTAAGTATTCTAAGTCTTTCTTACCAAGTGATATCTGTGGCAACTACCTAACTTGGCCATTGTAGCACAAAAGCAACTACATAAATACAATACATAATGATTAATATGATCTTCATAAACAATACAGTATATAAGTCAGCAAATGTAGCTGTGTTCCAATAAAACTTTATTTACAAAAAGCAAGGAGTGGGGCCATCGTTTTAAAATTCTTGCTTTAGAAAACTGTTTGCCAATCTCTGTTTTCAGTATTAATGGCAAAGATGGTAGCTCCACAAAGAGCAACCAAATGCAGAGAAATTAATTCCAATAAAAGAAATGAAAATCAGATTGCCTGTTATTTCAATGAACATTTCACCGAATGTTCCCCAAAGGCCCAGGACAGGATTTGGGTTGGAGGAGAGGTTGGAATAAACCAGTCCCTTCACCTTGATTTAACCAGTCCCTTAAATGGAAATCAAGTCACACAACTGTGTCACTTTTCTCACTGTCCCAGGGCTTTTGTTTTCTCATTTTGTTGTTTTTGGTCAGGAACAATAGAAATGAGCTACAACAAGAGAAGGAAGCTAGATATCAAGTTAGCAATTCTAAACACATCTGTGTAGTAGGACACATGCTAGGGATTATTCCAGTTTTTTATTATTAGAATTAATTTTACCTTCATATATTCATTCTCAGACACGCTTCCTTTATCTTTCTTTATCTAAGTCCATGTTTCTAACTGACAGAATTTGCTCTGGGGAGAGTCATTTTAGAGCTAGGAAACCTGGAGGCATTTGTCTCTCTGTAGATATAACCCACATAGTTTTGGATTAAGCCTTTATGTACCTTGGAACTTTGACATTTTCATGTGTGACTTTACACTTGCTGATTTTTTAAGCATTTATGTTTACTTTTGTTCTTCTAATGGGGTGTCGCCAAGGGCAAAAGTGGAGCCTCTAAGACTGGTGAATGGAGGCATGGCTTTAGATCACCAAACAGAGCCATCCACTGCTCAGACCCTGAGTCCTCTTGAGGACAAACATTATTAAACTACAGAGTATGTATATTGTTAACTTTACTTTTAGCTTACCCAAAGGGACCTATAGTCATTGACCAGGAAACTGGGCACTGGGGGAAGAGAAATACCCAGATTCCTCAGGGATACAGGACTCTGGCTCTGAACTGACTTTTATCCTGGCAACTGCCAGAAGCCACTGTGCTCCACTAGTCAGAAGGTGGGTGATGAGGACAAGGTGATAAACAGTTCTGACTCAGGTCAGCTTGCAGAGGCTTCCCTCATGACTCAGATGGTAAAGAGTCTGCTTGCAATGCTGGAGACCCAGATTCGATCCCTGGGTTGGGATGATGCCCTGGAGGATGGAATGGCTACCCACTCCAGTATTCCTGTCTGGAAAATCCCATGGACAGAGGAGCCTGGCGGGCTACAGTCCATGGCGTTGGAGTCGGACACGACTGAGTGACTAACACTTAGCTCACAGAACCAATGACGTCCTGTTATCTGTTCATGCCAAAGTTCATGCTCTGAAAATTACTTTTAAAGTTTTATGTATTTATGGAAGTTGGGTACTTTGTTTCTTGGTCTGGCTAATGTATTAATAGTGATTAAATAATGACAAAACACTTCTAGAATGGTGTTAAGAATTTAAGCTATGTTTGGCAGAGTCATTGAGTCTATTTGTGAAAAAGCAAAGAAATCCTGTCCAGGTTCAAGGAAAACACTCTACCCGTGGAGTTGGTTCTTCTGAATCTGAGCAGCAGCAGTTTTCTGAAACTTGAGTAGGATCCAGAGTTTCCATTTCAGTTGTTCCATTATGTCAACGTGAAAGGCAAAATTATTTGTTTTTACATATGTGGAAGAATAAAGGTTTTTTTAAAAGGGTTCTGGTGTTTTTTGTCTTTGGATGAAACTTGTTGAAGCTTTTGGTGAGTATAAATGGCTTTTGGAAAGCTTTTTCCTAGGTAAAATTCATTTATATGTATTTTAAATAGCACCTTCATAATCAGATTAAAATAATAAAAACCTCTTTGTGCATTTATCTTTCTCTGCTCACGTCCTCAGGTTACAAGTGGCCTCAACTCCAAGTGCAATAAATGTGCCTGCTTCTTCCCTCCTCTGGGCCATCCACCCACCCAGTCCAAGTGGGTCACACAATTAGAATTCTCCCTTCATTTAACTTACTTTCAAGGCTATCCCTTCCAAAGTGAAAAACCAAACATCTGTTTACTAAAGCAAACACCCCTTTCAAAGCTACATCTTCAAAGCACTCTGGTAGGCACATTCCCTGGCCATTCTGATAGAAAGGCAAAGTTTTATTACAGCTTTTAAATATTTTTCTCAAATGATATGATTCTCATCAGTAATAAGAGTAAAAATATTGCCAAAGAAGGGTCACAAACATGGGTGGAATTCTTTTGTCTAACGTGGCCATTCAGCACATACAGCTCACCACATACCAATCTACATGCACCCCTTTTCTTGCTTCCCCTTTCCCTCACCCTTACTTCTGTTTGCTCCCTTATTCTCAGAATGACCTATCAACTTAATCTGGAACATTATTTCTTGCAAACTACCAGTAAATATGAAGCATCCCACTCCTTCCAGCCTAAATCATAACCACAGATATGGGAAGGAAATGTTTGAAAAAGGAAGGTGGCTCCAGTGGTTGGATGACCACTGCATTTCTATCTCTCCACACACCTAACATGACCTGTAGCCCCAACACTCTCCCAAGAGCTGAAGCTGAAGCAAAGCACTCCTTAAAAATGTTTAAACCACTCCCTCTTCCAGTCTAGTCTTTTGCCCACATCATGGGCACAGCTGTAATAAATACACGACTTAAGTGCCTCAATACTCTCAAGTGTGGCTGGCGAACCAGCATCACCAGGGAGCTGTTAGAAGCACAGAATCTCAGGCTAGTCTGCTGCTGCTGCTGCTGCTGCGTCGCTTCAGTCGTGTCCAACTCTTTGCGACCCCATGGACTGCAGCCCACCAGGCTCCTCCGTCCATGGGATTTTCCAGGCAAGAGTACTGGAGTGGGGTGCCATTGTCTTCTCCGCGGGCTAGTTTAGCTCTACTGAATTTGCATTTTAACAAAAATCTCTGGGTAATTCAGAGGCACAGTAAAGTTTGTAGAAGTCAGAGCCATTATGATACAGAGTGGATTTTAAATGTGAATTATAGTAGCTTTTATGTCAGTCTTTGGTAAAAATATATATACCATTTGGTCAATCAATCTTACCCTTGGAGACCCTATCTGACAGAAATATCAGCGCATGTAAGGAGTCTGTTTATATGTAAGGAACTGGTTTTTTCAAATATTGCTCACAGTGGCAATAAAGAAAAAACAAAGGAAACGAGGGAGGGAAGAAGGAAGAGAGACCTGAGCCTGCAAACAAAGAAATGCCCACTCAGTGAGGGAAGAGTTAGAAAAATGATGGTCCATCCATGCTATTATTTGGTCATTAAAAAGAACTTGAAGTGACTTCTATTGCTGGGAAAAGCAAGAAAAGAGCCTGGAATAATACTCAAAACCACTTACCTGTAAATAGATGCACACATAGGTACATATGTGAGTGACTACTTGAATGGGTTAAAAAAAAAGTGGAAAGATGATATACTGTTTGGTACCTTGGGTAACCCAAGTGGAGGGAGGAGTGAGCCAAACAAAAAGTGAAACAACAGTACAGTAAAACCACTGAGAGTACACGCTGATGTAACGGTGTCACTCCTGTACAACTCTCTCTGGTTCTAACTCAGCAACGGAAAAATCAAACAGACGACGAAGATAAAAAATAGAGAATTCCTCTCAAAAACCCAGTCAACTGAGTTGCTTGCTTAGAGTAACTTCCTGAGGGCTTCCTGATGCTTCTAAGAGAAAAACATTTTTGGGGGGCTATCCTCCATCCAAGTAACGAGCTTGCTGGACTTGGCCACTCCTGGTGCTGGACAGAGATTGGGGGCATGGGGTGAGGCTCTCCCAAGTTCCTCCCTAGTACATCATTTGATGCTTGGTTGAGTACTCCCATGAGATAACCCACACCAGAGCACAGTGAAATCCTGCTAAACACTGATCTGGCTCCATCAGCAGAAAACCACAGAGGATACTAGATGGAGGTTAGGGACCAAAAAATGCCTACCATTGACCATGGTAGCAACCTCAGTAGAATTGAAGAGGTACTTAAATCCAACCTTTCATCAATTTTTCTCCAACTGGTATTAGAAACTTCTCTATTTCCCTACTTAGTAAATGCTTTTTTCCCCCTGCTTTCTACTTGAGACACCGTACACCTTATTGATTCTTGTGCTTCTCTCTAACCCAACTTGTTACCCTTAAAGATGAAACCAAACTAAATGAAAACATTCTCCACAGACTGTCTAAGTACATCAAACACAAAATACCAACACAGCTTTAACCTGACTTGTGTTGTAACACTGGGAAAATTCAGTGTTCATTTTTTTCTGCATTGGTTGGATACTGTCCAATGGATAAGCTCAAATCATTCCACCAGGAACCCTGAGGCCTACCCACATGACTGGTCTGAGAGACAGAGGGACTATTCACACCAGGAGAAAAATATACAGAGAACTTCAAAGAGTCAGTCCAAAGGTCTGAGGGAAAAACCCTGATGATGAGCTTATCAGCATAAAGATGGTGAAGTGTGTAACAAAGCACATATGTATGCATATGTAAAACTAAACTGCTCTTTCTCTTTTTTAAACCAGGCTCTATGAACATACCTGTGATCTCAGTCTCTTCCTCTTCAACGATGCACTGCTCGTTTCTAGTCGGGGTACATCTCATACTCCATTTGAAAGGACTTCAAAATCAACCTACCAATTCATTGCATCAGTGGCACTTCATAGGTTAATCATAGAAGACATACCAGATTCCAAATGTATGTATTCTCTTCCTCCTAAGAGATAACACCTTTAAGAAGCTGTATTATATAAAACTCATTAGCTATTAAAGTAGAAAAGCAGGAAGAGAACTGGAATTTGCATTTGCAAATAATTTCCCAAGTATTTTCAGGATCTCATTAATGTAAACTTTCCTCTACCTTTGAAATAGCAAAAGAAAGGAATGCTGGCATTGTCAGACACATACCCTACACATTAGGAAAACAGCTTTCCAAAGTCACAAAGGGAGACATAACCCTCTATCATTGCCAGGGAAGCTGGAGTCCTTAACCACTATCTTCTATTGCTTGTAGATGTTACAATTTTTATGTTACTTTTCCATTATACTAGGACTAAGTGATTACTGCAGATTTGACTGTTTTCTATTTCCGTAAATTTGCATTTACGAGTTCTCTAAAGGATGCATTTGCAAATGATATTTAGTAACATTTAACTCATAATAATCTCAGAAGAAATAATTGTTACAAAAAGAAATCCTACTTAAACCTACTGTACCTTTTAGTTTTTGTCTTACACTCTACTTTCCAATCTTAAAAAGATCTGTATCTCTTTTCCTATATTTCTGTTAGGCCAGGCAATAGGAATGTAACACCTTTTGTTCCAATATTTTTCACTGCACGTGAAGGTAGGACTTACGGGTAAAGCTAGAACCAAGATCTCAGAGAAGGAACTAATCTAAAAAGAGCTGCTTTCCATTAGCTTTGGCTTCATTTAAAATCTGAGCATGAGAAAAACTGAACACTAAATGTGGGAATAAATATTTTCACCTATTGAGAAATAAATATTTTCAAACTCAGGTAAGAAGGGTTAGTTATCCATAATGTGCATGACATGTCTCCTTCCATCTCCCCTTAATCAGCTGTGCTCTATGTCAGAACATCATAATGTAAGCTAGAAGTGGGCATTCAGCTAAGTCGTCGCTGGCTTCATTCTGTCCTGGTGCTCCTACCAGGGTGGCCAAGGTCCAGCTCTCAGCATCTTATCTACAATAACTCTTGTAAAGACCTTTACTGGTTCCAGTTCCTTCTGAAATTAAAGAATATCATATCATCTATTACTTTAAAAATAATTTCTAATTATAACTAAACAATTATAAAGACAAGTTTATTTTAGACTATATTTGAATTTTTCAGTAATTTAGGAAGTTATATTCTAAACTGGATTTGTGTTTGAAACTTTAATTTTCAAAAAGTCTTCAAGATGACTTGATCAACTCTTGAATTTTAAAACATTTTTTCCTTTTGACTGTTACCTACAAAAATTAATTTATGTACTTCCAATATTTTTACAGTTATCAAGAATGCATTTATTCTTCAAGGTCCGAAACATGAATGGATCTGTGCAACAGAAGTAGAAGATGATAAATTTCTATGGTTGTCTGTACTCCAAAATGCCATCAAAAGTAGTATGGAAAAATGAGTCTGGACCTCAGACAACAGGGGTGCCAATCTGCCCTGACAAAGACAGCATGTTGTTTTCTGTTCCAGAAGATCCAGTAAGAAGCAGAATAATGGTTCATCATGGATGATCCGTGGATGAACGAGGGGGGACTCATAAAATTCCTCCTAACTTTTAAACTTTATCATCTATGCTCAATTAGGTGAAATGGATAAGAAAAATTTTAAATGTAAAAATTTGAACCACTTCTTTTGATAGCTGTTTTTCATGGACAGTATTATTTAATCTGACTGACAATACCTAAGGCTGAATAAGGATATTGAGTATTTAAAGATTTGTTTTCTGATCTAATGAAAAATAAAGTCATAATGAAAAGTATTTCTTAAATGATCAGTCTAGAGAAATGTCTTAATCTGTTGGTGACTTACCAATTATCAACCTCTTTTAACATTTCCATGAAATAGTTATAGATTTTAAAAATATGTATAAGAAATCTAAATAGTACTTTACTAAAAAACTGGTCACATACATCCATAATGTGAATGTATTCCTACAGAGAGCATTAAAAACATACCACTATAAAGCACTAAAATTTTCTGTAATTCTTAAGTGTTCTTTTGTTGTCAAATTAAATTCTTAGACCTTCCAAATAAAATGGTTTAAAAATTTGTTACACTGCTAAATTAGAAGGCTGTTTGGTAGAGGGTGAGGGGGTACTTTCTAAAAAACAAAAACAAAACTTGCCTGTAATGGAATTTAGCTGAGTAAAAACTGAAGAAATTAAGACAATTCTATTTAAAACAGAAAAAAAAATAAAAATAGGTATTGAGTAGTTTTCTGGGCCCTTAAAGCTTTCATTTAATTATTTAATAAACTGAAGCTATAAACTGGTTAGCCACTTTGAAACTTTAGCTGATATATACAATAGTAATATTTTTACTCAGTTAATAATAGATAATATTGTATTAATCTTGGAAGCTTTTGGCTGTCAGTTTCCTCTTTGCTTCAAATTCTCCTTTAAGGAAATGAAATCTACTAGTACAGTCTAGCATTGTACAGTAGGCTATTTTAGACATTTTCTTTTTTCTACGACAAAAATACAAATTCCTTCTAATTCTTAAAAATTTAAATTCTTGTTTAAAAATGTACAAAAGTTAAAATGTTGTTTTTAATCAGTGTAAAATCACACTTCTGATTATGATAAAAGCATGCAGCTTAACATCTATGTCAGACAGAATAAAACATTAAAGGAATGTCTGCTGTTAGTCAGCAATAAATGTAAATTCACAAATGTGATCAAAATGGAACTATCATATAATAGAAAACAAATCCTGAGACACTACATGATCCTGAATAGGACAAATTTTAGAAACTCTTTGTTAATAGGAAAAGTCTCTCTCTATAGCAAAAGAATGGAGTAGAAATGGCAACGCACTCTACTATTCTTGCCTGGAGAGTCTCATGGACAGAGGGGCCTGACAGGCTACAGTCCATGGGGTCACAAATAGTTGGATATGACTGAGGGACTAAACAACAAAAACATGGCCAAAGAATGAGTAACAAGAGAGCTAAAGATAACTAGGAATCTTAAGGAATTTTCATTTATTATAATAGCGAATAATTAAGATCCTCAGAAGTTCTAAAACATGTTACTTGAAAACACTTCTAGAGACTGATGAGCATAAGCTTATAATTGCGAGTTTAGTGCATAAATCATGCAAAAAGTGACGTCTGCAACTGGACAGTACTTCTGTGGCTTGCAGCATCAACACTTTCCCTTTGGTTCTAGCAGACAATTTAAAAACGCCTATCTTCAGTTATTTCCTAATTGTACAGGACTGCTGAGGAATTAAATTCTCACACACAACAAAGTTTAAGTCACAGGTGACACTGATCAAATTTTCATCAGGAAAACATAAAATCTTCCCCCTAAGCTGATATGAAAGAGCCTGTAAGTGCCGTGAGACTCTTGAAGGATGTTGGTTACAGCAGAGCTTATGGTTAAAGTATGCCTCATCCAATCAGTTCTTTCAAATTAAAAATCAAATAGGAAACACATTTTAAAGATTTTTGGATTCTTTAAGTATTAAGCCTAAAGAAAAATTGACAGTTTATTTAATTTTGTCTCCTTTTGAGAATATTTCTGAGTTTGTGCTTAAGGTGCTAAATGAGAAACCCATTCTGTAAATCCAAGCAGTGTGAGGTTTTGGCCACATAAGTGTAATGCACCAAAGCTATGGGATATCAAGGGGGGAGGGGGGCTGTGCCAACAAACACAATACACCCTCCAGAAAAAGTCATCCTGACCCTTTTATTGTTGAAATTAAAAAATAAAAGATACTTAAATACAATGGTGAACATATAGGGCAAAACAGAATCATAAAATTTAATGTTGAATTAAGCAGTGAGCTGAATGTCTGGGTCTCCAAATTGGCTTTGAACCCAAAACCGCTTAAAAACAGGTATGTTCACAGTTAACGGCAACTGGCTTAAAGGTGAGAGAATGGTCGAAGCTGTTCCAGTTGAACTTCCAGGGAAATTCTCTCCTCAAGAACATCCTGAAAAAGATGGAAAGATAAGTTATGTTTCAACATATACAAAAATGCAGGCATATTTAACAGCAGCACTGCATGAAGGGACAGCTGTTCCTTTTAGAAACATAGTTTCTTTTTAGGTGAGTACATTAAAACACAATCTTAATTAAAATCTTTTTTTCTCATTACTTTAAATCAGGGTAATCAAATTTTTTTCCTTCATTATTAGAAAAGCCAGTAGTTTCAGATGATGGTTATTAATGCATGAATTTTGCACAAAGCCCACCCCTTGCAGTAACTGCAGATGAGATGGTTAACAAAGATTTTTTTCCCCTGGTCATAACAACTCCGGCACCTCATTTTGAGCTTCAGTTTCACAATGAATTAATGTATTTTATAATCAGAATTTCTAATGACTGTCAATTTGGGACAGTCTTTTCAGACAGTCAGCAACTTATGCATCCATATCCTTTTTTTTTCTCAATCACACTGACAGTTAATGACCTCCTCCTATTTGGTACCATACTTTCTCAGAGGATAATGAGAAAAGTAATTTTTAAAAACAGCTTCTATATGCATGTTTCTATGTTTTTTTGTAGTTCTTCAGAAAAACATGCATTAACAAAACTCACCTAAAGGTAGCTACCAGAAAGCTTGTCATTTAGTTTCACATTCTTCCTTTACAATGGACCAAATTCACAAGTCATAGAACAGCTATGAATATCTTCTTTGATCAAAGAGTTACACAAGAATACTATTCCTTTAACATACATTTATCAACTGCCCCACATGTGTGGAGTTTTGAGGACAGAGCAAGATGGTTATAAACCCATCCAGGACAGTCTCAGTTTATCTCTGATGTCCTGGCCTACATATTAACACATCCTTTTCTCTCTTTTCTCTTAAAAGTACTTTGGTTTGAACAATATATTACATGGTCACTGTAAACAGGAATGATTATGACTTAGCCTCAGTGAGTTCAGGTTAGTAGGACAGAGACACAAATGTGCCATAGATATGGACAATGTGATATATGCTAGAAAAGGAATATGAACAGAATATTACGAGACTCAACCGACTCTGTATTCATTTTACATTTCCATGGGCTCCTTCCTCATCTTTATGGTTTACAACCTTGCTACTCAAAGTGGAGTCAACTGTCCAGGAGCTTCTCCTTCACCTGAAAGCTTATTAAAAATTGCAGAACTCTCAGGTCCTTCTCCATACTGGACATGAGTCACAGTTTTCATTTTACCATGGACCCTTCCTACGTGTATACAATTAAGGTTTGAGAACCGCTGGTTTATAAGACGTGAATGCCGAATAATCTTGATGAATCATACATGATTCTGCTTGTTAGTTTTTATGTATAGGGATTAAAAAAAATCATGGTGAGTAGTAAGCAAGAAAACAAACTCATCCTCTCAAGTACAGATGACCATTTCTATTTAAGGTTTGTCTTTTCTGTTTCAGAGATGATCTAAATTGCCCCCATCCCTCTTCTTCAGACCTGTCATTTTCATAGAATCTGAGTTGTTTTGATAAAAGGATAAGTTAACAACACTTAACAATAGTGTGTAGAGAGCCACATATATGATCCTAGAGGTAGCTGGGGTCACAACATTTCTACTCTTGGGTATCATTATGAAAGTTAATGAACATTTTCAGTTCAGTTCAGTAGCCCAGTCACATCCGACTCTTTGCGACCCCATGGACTGCAGCACACCAGGCCTTCCTGTCAACTGCCAACTACTGGAGTTTACTCAAACTCATGCCCATTGAGTCGGTGATGCCAACCAACCATCTGGTCCTCTGTCATCCCCTTCTCCTCCTGCCTTCAATCTTTCCCAGCATCAGGGTCTTTTCAAATGAGTCAGCTCTTCATATCAGATGGCCAAAGTATTGGAGTTTCAGTCCAAGGACTTCAGCATCAGTCCTTCCAATGAATATTCAGGACTGAACATTTCAGGAATATACTTTACATACATATAGGATAAGGCAATCATACAAGAAATTAGTACAGGAAATTCTTTTTAATATTAAAAAATTCAAAGGCATATAAAACATTTTAGGTCCACACTTCTCCTGCTACTCGGAAAAGTTTCATACTAGCATAAGAACTGCTGGATCAGCTCCAAGTCTAGTTCAACACTAACAGGCTCTGACTCCACAGAACTTTCCAAATAAAGATTCAGAAACTACATTACCTTTAACTGTTGCTGCAATTCACTATTCAATCTGGCCAAAACTGTGTTGGTTTCCTTATTGCGTCTAATTGATGCCTGAATAGCTTTCTTATCTTTCCCAACAGACCTGAGAAGATAAAGAGAGCAAAAAACTTGACCTTCACTCTTGGGGAGCACCTTTGCCCTGCTAGCGTATCTCAACCTTGCTTGATCAGTTTTAAAGCTCAACCAAAAACTACTAAGCTTCAGAGGCTTAATTACTGTAGTTATTGATTTAGTGACTTTTCTGTAGAATCACCTGAGTTTAAGTCAGTGAAGAGCAGGAATAAGCAAACACTTTTTCTATAAATGGTCAGATAATAAGTGTTTTAAGATTTGCAGACCATACCATTTCTGCTGAATATTCTGTTTTTTGTATCTTTTCTTTTTCTCTTTTTAAACAAAAACGGAAAAACCCTTACAAAAACTGGCCATGGGTTGACTTTGGCCCATGAGCTCTAGCTTGTCAATTCTTGATTCTAGAACAACCATAGTTAAAACATCAGTGTTACTGAGCAATATAATTTTTAAAGTCTGCTCTAGGATTTGTAACTTGAATTGAACTTAATAACAGAAGGGGGGGGGGAAGTGGGAAGAATATTCTACTTACTCATAAATGGAAAACTCTCAAAGGGGAACAGTGGAGGACCTGTGCTCAACTACAGGACCAGTCTGACCATAATTCCCTTCTGTTTAATATTTTTAATTACTGTGCATTTTGTTCCCAGTAGTTACACATGTTTAGGAACAGCTTTGGTTACCGAGGAATAGAAGGTTGTGATGCAAGAACAGCAGCTAGGACG